TCAGCGGCCAGTCCTCCGGCAGGCTGTGCTGACTCTGGTTCCTTCTGTTCACCGGGGCCTCCCTGTTTCTTCCTTTTCTGTCACCTGGGTCCCCTGCCTGATTATCACTGTTCGGCCACCATGTTATGAGGAAGGACAGATGATGAACAAGGAAAGACAACCTGGAAAGGAGGACAGAGAGGCCTCTGCTCTCACCACCCAGGCCCCGCCGGCCCCGCCCACACCAGCCCACCTGGTGCTGTTCTGTGCACACACCTTTCAGGGCACACAGTGCTGCTCCGTGAGCAGGATTCTATCTCAAGGGAGCTTGGGTTATTTAAAACTCTATGTGAATTTACCAATATACTTAATGCAACTCAGTGTGATTTGTCACATGTTATTTCTGAGTACAGGCAGTCCCCCAAGTTACAAACAGCATAGGTTTTGTAGGCTTGTTCTTAAGTTGAATTTGTAAGTAAGTTGGAGCAGGCACATTTACCTATTACCTATAGCAGCCTCCATTCACAAGTGTGAGTTGAAGGCCAGTCGGATGCTCGTAGCTTGGGGACTTAACTGTGACAGCCTCCCTTCATAAGTGTGAGCTGTACATGAGTCAGATGTTTGTAATTTTGGGGCCGCCTGTACAGGGCTCTGGACATTTATCTTCATCTGTCTTACCATATTAATGTTAAAAAAATCCATCCACAAATACTGTTTGCATCAACTTGCAATTAATAGGATTTGTCACTATTTGTATCTGTTAAAACCAAAAGTTTGGAAATGGAAACGTGTGATTTTATCTTGTTTTCATTTTCTTTCTGTGTATCAAGAAAATTCAATGAAGCATAGTAAGGACTGGTGTCTTCCATGAATCCAGGGAATATTATCTATCAGGCATGAAAGATGGCCTTCTCCTATTCTTTCTCTGGTTTTCACTTTTTAATTTTTAAGCACCCAACAACCAGTGGTCATAGCTTGAGGTAAAATGTGGGCCAGTCTTAATTCAGCAGAAGCAGTTTTTCAACCCACGGGGAACTAACCTATTAGCAACAGACAACCACACAGATTCTTTTAAACTTAAGGCCTTGGAGACTATAAGGAGGAAAAACCCCAGCTGGATGAAGGAATCAGACGCTTTCTTTGAATATATGAGGAGTTCAGGGAGACTGAAGTGCATAGAGGGGAAGGGAGCTAACTGCTATTCTTTTTTAAGTCTGTGGAACAAATAAATATGTGTGATCTTGATGATGGAAGCACTCCCAGGAACAACAAAAATAAAAATGAACAATGTGAAATTTACCATCATAGTCACAATTTTAGAAATGAAAGGAGGGATTCTCAAGCAGGTTCACGTATGGAGACAAGTGGGGTTATCTGGGGTTGTCATGCCTGGGTGGGAAGAGACCAGGGAAGCTGCACTGCGCAGGACAAACCCCACAGGAATGAGTGACCCACCCAGCATCAAGGGTGGTGAGAGTAGAGAGACCCTGAGCTCACGCTCCCTGCCTGGTGTGGGCTGCACCTGTTCACCCCCTGTTCAGTAGAGCATCATCAGACATGCTCGGGGAGTTCAACGTGCGTCATGGAGGGTGTGCGGATCAGCAAGAGGACACCCAGCTGGCTTCTAATCCAGGGCTGGGTGACTCCGATGTGAAGTCAGGCAAGTATAAATGGGTACTGGATTTTACAAGACTGGAACTGAGGCAATTTAGGGGTGGGACACCAAGTCCTCAGAGATGGGTGAGGGAGGTGGGTGGGGAACATTGGGCCTAAGTAGGGAACAGCATGTGGGACCCAGGAGAGGAAGGGAGCAGCGGGGCCTCGAAGGTTTAGCACTGCCAGGGAAACATTTGACATCCCAATGTTTGACACGGGGACGGGTGTCTGTTCACACACTCTATGGTTAAGACTTTCTAAACTGAAATATGTGCACCGGCGTACCCAGAAGACCTAGGAAAGGAGGAGAGGGGAGGGAAGGACCAGTCCACTGGAAGGAGGATGAAGATAATAAGAAATAGGAGAGGAAAACAGAGGAAAGGCAAAAAGGACTGGGAAGTCCTGAGCCAGCACCTGCCAGTCCCCAGGAGGCACTCTCACCACAAGGCAAGGCACAACCTTGGCCTTGGAACCAGGCAGAGAATAGCCAGTGCTTTCCATCGGGGAATCTTACTGGCTGAAGGGAAGGAAGCCATCTTTCCTACTGCCCACTTCATGTGACTCTGACTATGCGCACCCCTTCCCCAGCCAAGGTGGTCTGTCCTGAAGGACAAGAGCTCAGCCACACACACACCACATTGGGACACACGTTGTAGGAAAGAAAAGATTTTATACATAATTTGTACAAACTCACTAGAAAGGTTGCAGAGATCTCTGATGTATGGGGTTTATATTATTTACTAATTTCTTTCTTTGCAGGGATATCCTAAAATACTATACTCTGATTCTTTGCCTTGTGGAGTTACCTTTAAATCTTCCTGCATTTCGGATGATTTATCTCAGAGGCATTTTTGAGCTTAAATCTCTTTTAGAAAATAACCTTCATCAATTTCTGTTCCTTATTTTTTCTTTGTCTCTGTTTCCCTGGCTAAGACAGCATTTTCTTCCTTCTCCTCTTTCTGGTTCTCTATTAAGTTTTGGGAAACCTAATGGCTGAGCTGGCTAAGGCCTGCCTCACTAATTCTCAAAACTGAGTTAAAAGGAAAAATAAAATTGGGTAAAATAAGGTACGTAACACTCTTTTATAAACACAGATGGCAGAAGGATCTTTTGCCAATACTCTCTGCATTTACATAGGTCCCCAAACTCTTGGCCCTGGGACCAACTTGTCACAGCAAGCCCTCTATGCAAGCCCTGTGTGTATCTTTGTTGTGTCACCCAAAGTGCATTTCACCATTGGAAAAGCTCGCGCTCCAGTTAAGTAAAACAAAAACCAAAACACTAACAGGATGAGATGTAGAGAGCCTGTTAAGCAGCTACGGAAGAATTCCCTCCAGGTGATCATGTGTCATCTGATCAGCCGTGCCTGTTACAAGCGTGACATCCTGGAAAGACAAAGAATCATGCTTGTAACAGGCACGGCTGCCCGAGACACGCGTGTCCAACCTCAGGTACAAAGTATACTTTCCATAGAAACTTAGGGGTGCAGATTTTAGTATGAAAACGGATAAAGCCTATTGTAAAGGATATGTTAAAGTAAATTGTAAAGGATAATTCTCAAATCATTTTTAATATAATTTTATTTATCATATAATTACTTTCTACAGTTAGCTGGGATGTGTGAAAGGAGGAAATTAAAATACTATTTTTAAAATTCAGGCCCATAGTTTTTCAAATAGTATCACAGTCAATTGATGTCGTGTTGAGTCTAATGACTGGCAGTGCAAATTAGATCAGATCTCATATTCTGGATCCTTGCCAGTAGTGATTAGCTGCTGTGTA